AAATAATAAAAATGCCTGCTCGTGTGGATTACACGAGCACAGTGGATGCGCTCGTGTAAATTCACACGAGCAGGCCAACGTGTGATTTTTTTCGTTTTTTTTTTCCGGAGTCGTAATCTACATAACAAGAGGATCGTAAAAACGTAAAAATTACCTCCGATCTGTTGACGATTTGCACGGGCTTTGCGAAAGAAAATCGAAAGGTTGAGAGAGTTTTGAGTTTTTTTACTTTTTGTTTTTTGAAAAATGGTAAAAAATGTGTCTGAATGTTTAATTTTGGCCTGCACAAATCATTTCAGATGAGCTAAAGGTAACACTTAACACATGCGGTGGGTTCACACCTACCTAAAGGTTTTTTTAGACTTTTAGGCATGACAAAATGTTACAATTCTTTTGTAGAAGAAAAAAAATAAAGTGAAAGAAGAGAAAAAGGGTGGTGCAGACAAGGAAAAGTTATCTTGCTGGTGCCGGTCCTTTTTCTGCTCGTGAATTAAAAACAGAGTACTCCATTAGCTGGATTTCATACATCTGGAAGCACATGACAAAAGATAACCATCAATATTGCCATTTTTGGAGCTCAGTTTCTCTGAAAATATCGAAACTTCATCATTTAATATTAGCACACACATCCTCATAATTTTACAACAATACCATCCACCAACAACTTAATTAAAAATTAAACAGAAAGGGAAATCTTCGAGATCGGAAATTAGCGAATGGATCAATCCTCATAAATGCGACACTCGTCGGTTTCGGGATTCTCCTGACAGAAGTGCTCGAGTGGATCCTGCTGCAGGTGGTGGAGCTTGAGGCGGAGATCGGCCTTCGCCTGGCTGACCTCCTCCACCTCGTCCCACGCCACCTTGCACTCGTCGGAGGTCTCGTCTTCGCCGCACACTTGCTTCGCCTCCATCACCTTTTTCTCGATCATCTCCGTCAACCGCTGCTCTCTCATGTGCGTCCCTTTGTATATCTTCATCTCCGATCTAACCTTTACAACCCTAGCCCTAGCCCTAGCCGCCGTACTTTTCCGACCACACGGTGGGGATGGAGTTGAAATTGAAGCCGGAAAATATGGGGATTGCTTGAAATTGAAGGCGGTTAGGGCGAAAGAGGAGGCCATTTGAGGTAAAGGAAAAAAAGGTGAGGCAAGCTGATCAGACGAGAAAAGGGTTTTTATTTTTTGTCTCTAATAATTCGAGGTGAGAGAAACTAGTTTATTGGAGAAATGGGGGACCGAATAATAAATATTATTTTACTTAGATGCCCTTTCCTTATGCTCTTGTGTGCATGGGGCTTCAATGAGTTTTTGACTAATTGCCTAGACCTTTCTGGAAACTAGCAATAATTTCAATAAAAAAAATATTATTTACCTTTTGGACAACAAGAAGTCATTATGCTTATCTACTAATACATGGATTGGACCGGGTGGCCCATGCAGCGCATTTGTAATGGGTAAATGGGCCGCTTCACTTTTTTTTAATTCTTTTTAAAAAAAAGGAAAGGTGAAAATAAGACAAGAAAGACCCAAATTATTGTTGATAATTAAAAGGGACCTACTTTTTACGGTTTAAAAATTGCTATTTGTAGTTCAAACATAATACTATTTGTATCTGAATGCTCAGATCGGGCGCCCAAATTGGAACCGGACGCCCAAATTGGGCGTTCATCAACATTTTCCACTCCTGGTTTGAGCGTTCACCGAGTGCAATTTTGAAAAAAAAAAAGCCCTACAAATTGATTTGTAGGGTTGTTTAACATGAAATTGCAATCGAAATTTCCTACTCAATGCAATAAAAACGTTTAGGTGTTGAAAATACCTCAAAATTTCGATGAAGTTAGCTTATTTTTGCTTGAATTCGATTTTTTTTTGATTTTTTTTTTGTTTTTAAATATTTTCGGTTGGGGGGAGTGGGTGGGAAATAGTTTGTAGTGAGAGTAATGCTTTTGGGTATAAACTGCAAATAGCAAAGTTCTAAACCCAAAAAACATTTCACTAATTGAAATCTATTTGAATTGAAAAATAAATTGTGAGAAGTATGGAGACTCACATGGTTCGATTCCACGTAAAATCTTGCAATTCCAGCGTTAGACTCTTGTGATCTGTCGCGAGCACAACACATATGCGACAAAAAGTCGTGAGGAACCCGAGGCTTGGTCCGGACGAAAATTCTCCAACTCTTAATTAAGTCAGCTCTATACAATAGAAAAATTCAAAGAATTTAAGAGACTCTTCGGAAGTTATGAATTGTGTATCTTTGATTGTGAGGGTTCCGTATATTTGTATAGAGAAATATACTCTCATGGGCTTAAGCCTCTTAACATGAGTCAACTTGAGCTTGACTATTTAGATTATGATCAACTTGAATCTTTAGTCAACTTAAGCTTGTATTATTATACTGAATTAAATTGAACTATGTTTGTGTACCTCTATGGACTCGTCCATATAAGCCTTAGAGACGTTACTAAGTATAAAAAAATTGTTTATTGTTAAAACTAGTTGATGTATAATGGGGAATACGATGCTACACCCGGTGATTTTCACCGGGTGGCTCTTTTCTTGACATGTGTCCTTTTTTATTTATTTTATAATTATATTTCTAAAACCCATTGGGCCATAATTAAACGCGTAGTGAGAATTTTATTAATTTGGGTGCCTGGTTATATTCACCAGGTGTAGCATAGAATTTCCCATGTATAATAGTCATTACAATTATTTATTTAAATCATTTATATGAGGTAATTTATATCTTTTTTCAAAATAAAGCAAAATAGGCTCTTAGGGCCCATTGACTAGTAGCAGGCCCAATCCACTTCACTCTTTCCTCCAACGGCTACAAAAGAATTTCTGAGTCATTTCAAAATTCAAATATTCAAACGGGAGTAAACATCAGAAGAACAAGGAGGAGAAGAAAATGGCGAGCAGCAAATTGGACGAGCCGATTGGAATACTGTTGGATCCAGAAACGGAGTTTCTGGCGTCGAAGGAAGAGACGGGTAACGAGTGGGAACTCTTCAAAGAAAACGTCCGCCCTCTGAAGCGCGGCCGTAACGTCCGTCTCCTCAACCATGCCCTAAAATCGAACTCCCAATCCCAACTCAAGAATTCGCTTCTTTACAATCGAAGGTGCTTAATTAGAACATTCTTTATTAATTTGTTTATCTTCAAATTTATGAGCTTTAATTGATGAAGTTTTGTACGAATAGGAAGTTGATTGAGGCCATTGACGAGTACAGTGGAGACGACCCTCTTCAGCCGTGGATCGAGTCAGTAATTCATTACTCTATAGCTTTATTATGTCAATTAATTCATTACTGTGCATTTTCTTTGGCTTCTCTGTGTTGGAGTTAGGGATTTAATTTTTATTTACCCCTTTAATTAATTACCTTGTTTAGGGTTTATGTTTATCCATCCAATTTCGATTCTATTATATATTTTTTACTACTGTATAGGTTGAAACTCTGCTTCTTGTCATGTAAATTAGGTTTTTATTGTATTATTTTCCATTCAGATGAGAAGGCAATTTAGTGATAGGACTTGTTTTTTTTTTTTTTTTTTTTTTTTTATGTCCCTTTTACTATTCAACTTTTTGATCTTGTTAAATTTTCTAAAGGTGCATCAAATGGGTCCAGGAGGCTTTTCCTCCCGGCGGTGACTGCTCGGGATTAGTCGTGATTTATGAACAATGCGTGCGGACTTTTTGGCATGAAGACCGTTACAAGGATGATCTTCGCTACCTCAAAGTTTGGTTGGAATATGTAAGTGTGTCTTCTCTGTTCTTGTTCTCAGATATATATGCATTGGGTTCAGTTGGTTAAGATTGTTACTTTGTGTGAAATGGTTAAATAGGCTGAAAATTGTGTTGATGCTGAGGTCATCTACAACTTTTTGGAGGCAAACAAAATCGGAGTGACGCATGCGTCGTTCTACGTCTCCTATGCCCTGCACATGGAACACAAGAATAAAAATAAAACCGCGAACGAGATCTTCAATCGTGGCCTATCCATGTATGTAAACTTCTCCTTCCGACACTCACTAGTTCTGTAAATGCTTGAAACTTTACGTAGAATATTTTTTGTGTTTCATTCTTCGTAAGTTTTATTTGCGATTCGTATACACATAAAAGATTATTCTTTAGGTCGCTGTTAATTTTTATTTCAATTGACGAATATATCTTTAATTCATGGGTACCAGGAAGGCTCAGCCAGTCGAAAAATTGACAGCAGCCTTCCAGAAGTTTCTAGCTCGTACAATGAGACAACCGAAAGCTACAGATGTAAGCAAGTTACTAATGTTTTATATCCTGTCCTTTTTATAGTTTGCTTGTCTTTATAACTCCAGTGACCTTAATTAATGCCTGATTAAATTAACAGGAGGATATGACAGAGAACCACTTGCCAGCTAGAAGCTTCGGAACTGTGTTAACTAAACAAACACGTAATTTATCCATTTACTTTCCGAGGTTTACGGTTTTTGTAAGTTGCTTCTAGATATTTGTTGGCTAATACGTTGTTACTGTAGCAGGAAACCAAACTTCAGACAGTTCTGATATTTTCAGGAAAAAACTGAAACCTGATAGGTACGAACAAAATGTTTAATTAAAAGTCCATTTTCTGATATCGAAATCCCCTTTAACGTTTCCGTTTTCTTTCTTACAGGGCTCATGGAACTGCATTGTCCATTTTTAAAGACAGTGGCAGTAGTTCACAATTGGATCATCATTCGGAAATGTCAAAGTTAGACGTAAAGCCATGGCACTCACTCGGTGCTCGAGCAGAACGAAATAAAGAGAATAATGCAATTCCTTCCAAGTGGACATCAAATAAAGTACATATAATATTCAAACCTAATCCATATCATCGCGTAATAACATAAAAATAAAAATTTCCATCTTATTTTCAAGTGTATTTTATTACAGATTCCTCAAAGACCTGGTCAAAGAGTACGAAGACCGCCTTCGGGCCCGTCCATTGAGATCTTTGTCGATGAGGAATCCCCAATGTAAGATTGTAGATACCGTAACGGCGTAACCTTTTCTTTTTATTTTGATTACTGTTACTGATGAAAGTGTTCGATTTTGTGTAGACAACAAAAGCAAGACGAGGGAGAAAAGTCATCAGTTCTGCAGCTCAGGCCTGGGGATGGTAGAGATATTAAGAAGTAAGAATTTTTTTTTTCTTCGAATTTGTTCGTCGATAAATCTTTAGATGCTGATGCAATTTACTATTGTTCGTTTTTTCAGCGAAACGGAACTACTGAAGGAGAATCCGTTGCGCAATTTTCCACCAAGTAGTCTTCCCAGATAATTTATAGCTATTTTTTTCATGTAATCTTTGTATTCTTTTGTATTTGGTATGATCAGCTTTACCACTCCAAAGCCTGATCTGTGTTGCTGTTGTGTTTGTTAAGTGTGAGAACATTTTCTTGTGTTTTTATAAATTTCAAAATCATAAAATAGTCAGCACTCACGTAAAACAATCCATTCAAGCACATCTCTAGATAATTTAGAATTTCTATTAAAAAAAATTGAACATATTTATGTATAATTTTAATTTTTTAGACATTTGGAATATATCATGAAAAGTAGAGTGGAGGTAATTTTTTCATGCTTAAAATTCTGAGGCATTAATTATTTAAGTACTTCCTCTGTTCCACAATAACTGTCTCTTTTTTAAAATATTTTTGTTCCATATTATATGTCACTTTAGATTTCCAATACTGCATTAAATGCATTTTTCCTATTTTAACCTTCTTAATGAAACTCTATTCATTAATTTTCTCTTATAAATCATTAAATATTAAAGGTTGTTTTAGTCATTTTTATATAATTTTTTTAAAATCAAGATATATTTATTGAGTTTCTTAATCTTTGTGAAAAGTGAAAAATGACAATTATTTAGAAACGGAGGGTGTATTTATTCCAAAGTAGGTCCTAAAGCTTATATAAGTAAAAATATTTCATAAAAATTACAAGTTAAATCTAGAAATGGGTCCGGGTCCGGGTACGGGTATATTAATATAAATAAGAGGGGAGGGTTATTTTTGTCGGTTCCGCTTCTGGGTTTCTTCCCCGTGCAATTTCCATTTCCGTTTTACATTCCCGCAACAATTAGGGTTTTTGCTCAAACCCTACAAAAAATCCTACAAAAATCAATTCTCCCCCCTCCGATTTCAGCTTCAATCCCTAAACAATGGCGGAGCACTTGGCGTCCATCTTCGGCACCGAGAAAGATCGCGTCAACTGCCCATTCTACTTCAAGATCGGCGCCTGCCGCCACGGCGACCGGTGCTCTCGCCTCCACAACCGCCCCACCATATCTCCGACGCTCCTCCTCTCCAACATGTACCAGCGCCCCGACATGATCACACCAGGCGTCGACGCGCAGGGGCAGCCGATCGATCCGGACAAGATCCAGGAGCACTTCGAGGATTTCTTCGAGGACATCTTCGAGGAGCTCAGGAAATTCGGCGAGATCGAGAGCCTCAACGTCTGCGACAACCTCGCCGACCACATGATCGGAAACGTCTACGCTCAGTTCAAGGAGGAGGACGAGGCCGCCGCCGCCCTGAACGCCCTCCAGGGGAGGTTCTATTCTGGCCGCCCCATCATTGCCGACTTCTCCCCCGTCACCGACTTCCGCGAGGCCACCTGCCGCCAGTACGAGGAGAACAGCTGCAATCGCGGCGGCTATTGCAATTTCATGCATGTCAAGATGATCGGGAAGGAACTCCGGCGGAAGCTGTTTGGTAAGCACAACACCGGTAAGTACTGGGGCACTAGGAGCCGCAGCAGAAGCGCAAGCCCGTCGCACCATCACCAACGACGGGATAAGGAGAGGGATAGAGATATAGATAGGGATAGGGATAGGGATAGGGATAGAGATAGAGATATGGATAGGGATAGGGTTTATGACAGGAGAGACCACCGTTGCGGTGGCGGTGGAAGGAGGCGTGGAGGTGATAGATACGGAGGAAGGTATGAGAGCGAAAGGAGAAAGCGCGGAGGGAGTCCGAGGAGGAGCAGGAGTCCGGTGAGGGAAGGGAGCGAGGAACGAAGAGCTAGAATCGAGCAGTGGAATAGGGAGAGGGAGGAGAAGGGGCAGTGATGCCTTTCAAACCGTGTTTGCTCTGTTTATTTATCGCCGTTTCGGCATTGATTTAGTATAGAATGCTTCTAGAAAGTGCATTTGTACCAATAGGCGATAAAACTTCTGGACCGCGTTTCGTTTTCTGTGGGGATCGAGGGTTTAGCTAGTGTGACTGTGCATTCTATTTTGTTATGCATTGTTTCAAAATGGTGGCTAGTGTTTTAGGTTTTTTTTTTTTTTTTTTTTTTCTTCTTCTTCTTTTTAATTTATTGCTTATGTGTATGTAGTTGTTTTTATGCTCTGCTTCTTCTTCTATGTAACTTTGTCATTGTTTTCGGAAGTGAACTGTTGTACTTGCATTTTGTCTTGGTTATCTATTTGCTTACGAATTTTCAAGTCCTTACGTGTTAATTATGAGCTTGTTTCCTGTCTTATCTTATCAGTTTAAGCACCGGTTTTTGTCCTTGTCCACATATTTCGTTAGACACTTGAACTTTTAGGTGATTAATAACGTTACTCGTAATTTCTGTATTGTGTTGTGGCTGGGGAAAACACTTGTTCGAAATGATGACTTTGTGAATTGTTTTATATGCCTGAGCTAAAACTGAGTGGGATACCAATTCTAATTTGAAGCCGAGTCCGCTGTAGCTTATCGATGGAGTGACCTCCTTTTACCGACGTGGCTGTAGTTGTTCGATCTAATAAATCTTGGGTTGAGATGTAGCGGAACAACCTGCAATCAGCGGTGCATTGCCTTGGTCAGTTTTCTGGTATGTTCGAGAGCCATACAATCTTATTTGCAACAGTGAGTATCCTTTTAACCTTCTGACATGATTGATTTGCTGCTGTGTTAACTTTATTTTCTGTAACTTGTCGAACCTCCAGGGATTATGCTCCCCC